CTGAGTGTGGTGGTGTGAACCTGTAGTACCAGTTACTCAGGAGGTTGAGGTGAGAGGATCCCTTGCACTCAGGAGTTTGAGGCTGCAGTGAGCCATGATCGTGCCCCTGCACTCCAGCCTAGGCAACAAAGCAAGACCCCATCTCTTTAAAAAAAAAAAAAAAAACGGCAAAAGATGGCCGGCTGCAGTAGCTCATGCCTGTAATCCCAGCACTTTGAGAGGTCGAGGCGGGCGGATCATGAGGTCAGGAGATGGAGACCATCCTGGCTAACATGGTGAAACCCCGTCTCTACTAAAAATACAAAAACTAGCCGGGCGTGGTTTCAGGCACCTGTAGTCTCAGCTACCCAGGAGGCTGAGGCAGGAGAATGGCGTGAACCCAGGAGGCAGAGCTTGCAGTGAGCCAAGATCACGCCACTGCACTCCAGCCTGGGTGACAGCAACACTCCATCTCAAAAAAAAAAAAAAAAAAAGGGCAAAAGACATAAAGAGATATTTCACCAAAGAGGATATATGGCAAGTAAGCACATGAAAAGATGTTCAACATCATCAGCCTTTCAGGAAATGAAAACTGACACCATGATGAGATACCACTACACACCTATCAGAATGCCTCAAATATAAAATAGTGACAATACCAAGTGCCGCTGAAGATTCAGAGAAACTGAACTCTCAGACATCGAGAGTAACAGGAATGTAAAATGGCACAGCCACTCTGGAAAATAGTTTGGCAGTTTCTTAAAAACTAAGTAGTCAACTACCATCTGACCCAGTAATTACACTCCTGGGCATTTATCTCAGAGAAATGAAAACATGTTCATGCAAACCCCTGCTCGTGAATTATCATAGCAGCTGTATTCATAACAGGAATAGTTGGAAACAATCCACCTATCCTTAAACAGATGAATGGTTAAACCAACAGTGGCATGGAATGCCATGGAATGACATGGAATATGACTCAACAGTAAAAAGGAATGAAGTATGAATACACATAGCAGCAGAATGCAGGGCATTTGGCTGAGTGAAAAAGCCAACCTCAAAAGCCTACATACAGGTTGCTGTGGTGGCTATTCAGATCTGCACTGGTGACAGTGCCATACGCCTATGCACACACATTGTACGAACGTCCAGTTCTCAGCTGCGAGATCATACTGGACTTACAAAAGCTAGACTATTAACGGAAACTGGGTGGAGAGTGCACAGTGCCGTCTGTACTATAGTGGTATACCCTGTGACTCTAAAATCATTTCACAATAAAACGGTTTTATGTTTTATTTGTTTTTTGGGTGTTTTTTTGAGACGGAATCTCACTCTGTTGCCCAGGCTGGAGTGCAGTGGAGCAATCTCTGCTCACTGCAAAGTCCACCTGTTGGGTTCAAGCAGTTCTCCTGCCTCAGCCTCCTGAGTAGCTAGGACTACAGGTGTGCGCCACCATGCCTGCCTAATTTTTTGTATTTTTAGTAGAGACAGGGTTTCACCATGCTGGCCAGGCTGGTCTTCATCTCCTGACCTCATGATCTGCCCACCTCAGCCTCCCAAAGTGCTGGGATTGCAGGCGTAAGCCACTGCACCCAGCCAATAAAATGAATTTTAAGGCCCTAGGGGAGAAGGTATGACAATTTGACAACTTTTGATGGATTGCAGTTTGTTTTAGATGTGATCGTGGTTATGTTTTTTAAAGAAAGAGAGATGGGATCCTTATGTTTCAGAAACATATGCTATGGTGTTTACAGATGAAATTATATTGTATCTTAGATTTGCCCTAAAAACCATCTAGTGGGGAGTGGAATTAGATGATGAAACAAAAGTGGCCACATGTTGAGAATTGTTGAAGCTAGACAATGAATATACAAGGTTCCTTATACTATTTTCTCTCCTTTTGTGTACTTTTGAAACTTTCCATAATAAGTTTTTAAACATAAAATGAAATAAAAATCCTGAGTGTTCCTAGGGACTTGGAGAAGGCCCTCAGCTCCTGCTTGCAAGCTGGACTCTGGCCACTGCCTCCAGGTTGGAGACAGAGTGTGTTAGTCCATTCTCACAGTGCTATGAAACATTACCTGAGACTGGGTAATCTATGAAAAAAAGAGGTTTAATTGGCTCAGAGTTCCACAGGCTTCACAGGAAGCATGACAGGGAGGCCTCAGGAAACTTAGATCCTGGCAGAAGGCTAAGGGGAAGCAAGCGCCTTCTCCACGTGGCAGCAGGAGAGAGTGAGTGAAGCGGCAAGTGCCGCACACTTTTAAACGATCAGATCTCAAGATAACTCATCCGCTATCACGAGAACAGCAAGGGGGAAATCCGCCCCCGTGATCCAATTACCTCCCACCAGGCCACACCGTTAATTCAATATGAGATTTGGGCAGGGACACAAATCCAAACCATATCCCAGAGGTTTCCCAGGTCAGTTCTGGGGACGCATGTGGAGCTTTAACTGTGTTCCTGATGTTGGCGCTGCCAGGCCTTTGGGCTCCACCTTTGAGGAACTTGCCATTCGCCACCCCAGTCATCCTCCCGGCTTCCATCTGTTCAAGTGTTCATCCTTCCATCGGTTTCTTTGTCTGTTTCATCACCATTTATCTGTTTCTTCCATCCGTCTGTTTACTCACTTACTTAACATTTCCTAAACATTGACATTAATGAATAAGTCATGGCTCCTGCCTTCAAGGAGCTCAGAGTATAGCTGGGGGGAGTCAGACCGACACAGGGTACAGAGATGTGTTTCCTGCCATGAGGGTTGTCTGCTCAAGCTCCCTGAGAATGAGATAAGAGTCACAGACGGGACTCTCACGGAGAAGGAAGTGCGTGAAATGCGTCTTCAGAGTTCATATTTTCACCTGTGTTGGGCCCAAGTGGATAATCCAAGATAATCTTCCTATTTTGAGGTCAGCTGATTAGCAGCCCTGGTTTCATCTGCAACCTTAATTCCTCTTTAATTCCTCACATAACATAACATATTCACAGGCTCTGGAGATTCCATCTTTTCATCTTTTGGAGACCATTATTGTGCCTCTTGCAAGAAGAGAGTCCAGATGCAGACCCAACTATCTAGAAACTCAAGGACAGAGCAGACATTGTAGGTCCATGGGAAAGGACTGCCCATTCCATGAATGGTGCCGAGACCATTGATTATCCTTACAGAAGAAAGAAATTGGATTCCAACCTTACTCTATACCACAAAAATCATTTCCAGGTGGATTAACAGCATAAAGTGCCAAAAGAAAGCTATAAAACATGAAAAGATAACAGAGAAGAATATCATTATGACTGAGGTTGGAAAGAATTTCCTAGACACAGAAAACATACACCAAATAGGACTAGATTGACAAATTTGTCTATATTAAAATTAAGGACTTCTGTTCATCAAAAGGCCCCTTAAAAATAGTAACAAGCCACAAACTGGGAGGAGATAGTTGTGACACATCTGAGTGACAGAGGTATCTAGAAGTGAGGGAAGGAATGTGTGTGTATACATACATACATGAATACATACATATGTCAACGGTATGTTAAAGATAAGCAATTCAATAGACAAATGGGTAAAACTCATAAACACTTCACATTAAAGGGAAATATAAATGGCCCATAGATAAAAGGTCAACTCGTTAGTAATCTGAAATGTCAATTAAAATCAGAGGAAGATACTATTTCATACCCCTTAGACTCAAGAATTTAAATGTCTCATAATGCCAATCTCAAGAGCTGACTGGGATGTGGAGGGATGGAACAGTCTTGTGCCGCTTTCAGGTTCTGGGAAACTATTTGGTGTGCCTAGGACCCAGCAGGGCCACACACACCTGGGCATCCACACTCAGCAGTGTGAAATCACACCAGGGGTGACGATTTTGCCCAACTGGGCAAATATCTTAGCTATTATGATGGTTTATGGCTCTCCAGAATGCCACACTGCATAAGGAATACACAATACATTTGTGATATTGATATCATAGGGACAGGGAGGGATTAGGAAAATAATGTGCTCCTTAGCGGGGCTGTCACGAAAGCAGGGTTGAGAAACAATGTCCTAGAGCAACCCTCTGACGCACACCCAGGAGGCGTGCAGACACCGTCCAGCAGCACCACTGCAGCAGCACAGGACATACCCTGCTCCAGCAGTGCAGCCAACACACACAATGTGAAAGACTCGTACAGCACAAGACTGTGCGGCAGTGAAAATGACACAATCACAGCTACACACACAGGACACACGCTGCTCCAGCAGTGCAGCCAACACACACAATGTGAAAGACTCGTACAGCACAAGACTGTGCGGCAGTGAAAATGAAACAATCACAGCTACACACACAGTTGAGTAAAAACAGCCAGCCAGAGAAGAGTGGATTTGCTGGCTCCCTTTAGACAAGGTCAAAACCTAGCATAACTGACAGAACTAAATGCTAAGACAAAGGCATGGGAATGATTTATTAAAAGTTCTAACTTTTGAATATCTCTACAGGAAGGAGATGGGAATGGGACTCAGTGGAGTATACAGGATGTGGAAGGTCAAGTTTCTGGTGTTTTTCCTAAGTAGAGTAATGGGTACCAGGACTGTTCATTGTATTAAATTTCAAACCATATTTGCATGTACGGAACTGTATATTTTCTTTGAATACACACATATATATTGCATAACACAATGTTAACATTTTTCCTAAGGGCCTATACTATAGCCAACACAATGGAAAATGGTCTGTGACTGAATACAACCTAAGGGGCTCTCGAGCTGTGTGATGGTGAATACTTGTGTTCCCTTGTCAGCCGAGTTGCTGTAGACTGGGTGATGGGTGACTAATGGTGGTGGTGTGAGTGAGATGGTGCATTCTTTCACCCAGGCCACATGTTTGCGGCAAGGATGGTTTGAGAACCTAGCCCTGCAACCTGCATCCTCCTCCTGCAGAAGGAGTGTTTGTCCTGAGCCCACCGGGCTCCTTCTCCACATGTTCTCCCCTTAGCCCTTCCCAGCCCAGCCCCCTTTGCCCAGCTGCTGTCTCTCCTTCCAGCCATGCCTGATGGAGCTCTGGACACAGCTGTCCGCGCTGATGAAGTGGGGAGCGAGGAGGACCTGTATGATGACCTGCACAGCTCCGGCCACCACTACAGCCACCCTGGAGGGGGTGGTGAGCAGCTGGCTATCAATGAGGTAGGGTCAGGGCTGCGCGGGCAGAGGGAGGGACAGGCTGGGGCTACAAGCTGGACTCCAGCACGCTCATGCAGGCCAGATGCCCACAGTCCATGTTCCATGCAGATGCTAGTGGTGCTGGCCATGCACAGCGCAGTTTCAGCCTGCAGTCCTCACTTTGGGATGTGGTGTCAAGAGCACGGTTTGTCCAACACAGGACTCCCTGTGCCCTTCTGGGGCCCACAGAGCAGATGCAATGCCAGCGTGCTGGTCCGCCTCATGGGGCTGTCCTAGTGAGCAGCTTCCAAGAGCCATCCCGGCTGGAGGAGTCCTCCTTAGTAGAAGGGAGGTCAGGGCTTCTCCAGTCACTCCAGCCCCTGACCCTGCAACCAGCCATTTGGGCAGGCTGGGAACAAGGCGAGGGAAAAACTGTTTTCTCTCCTGACAACAGGAGTTCAGAAGCATTGCTGTTGCTATGACAACTGCATGCGAGTTGCTATGGTTTTGCTATTCCTACCCAAGCAGAAGAAATCCGGGAGAATCCTCATCCAGGCAAAACTGCTTCCCATCCGAGTTCTCCCTTTGCATTCCCAATGAGAGAGGAATCGTGATGCTTTAACACGCCTCTTTCTCACTCACCCTCCTACTTTCTCAGCCTCTTTTACTTAACTGGAGGGTGAGTTGAACGTCATGGAAGTGTAAGCAGATGACCAGCACCAGCACATGCCCGTAGCAAATGCCATGTTCTCCAGTCAGGAGGTACTGGTGTGTTTCTGCTTCATTAAAACTGGACTCTGACAACTCAGGATCTTGTAGCACTCGGGTTTTTCCTTAAGAAGGGATCCATTTTGGAAGAGTTAGACTTTTCTGTGAATGAATGAGCTGGGGGGCTTCTCAGAAGCCAGTGAGGAGGGTGGTGTCCTCCTTACCTACTGGACAGAGGAGTGGAATCAGAGGCCCAGGAACTCCTCCCAGAGGCCCAGCTCTAGATGATGATTTAAAACAGTCATTAAGGCCAGGCACGGTGGCTGTCGCCTGTAATCTCAGCACTTTGGGAGGCTGAGACGGCTGGATCACCTGAGATCAGGAGTTCGAGAACACCCTGGCCAACACGGTGAAACCCCATTTCTACTAAAAATACAAAAATTAGCCAGGCATGGTGGTGGGCACCTGTAATCCCAGCTACTCAGGAGGCTGAGGCAGGAGAATAGCTTAAGTGTGGGAGGCAGAGGTTGCAGTGAGCCAAGATGGTGCCACTGCACTCCAGCCTGGGCAACAGAGTGAGACTCCATCTCAAAAATACAAATACAAATGCAAATAAAACGGTCATTAAATAATGCGCTACTCAAAACCCATGACGTATAAAGAATAAACATGTAAACAAGCTTTCCTGACAACACCTTTCTCTTTAAGTGACTCTCGTAAGCTATTTGGGATGGAAGGTGTTCTGAAATCATGTCACCTGAAGCGGAATTCACAAGAAATAGTTGTGCTTTTCCTTTTTTTTTTTTTTTTTTT